AACTTTTATGTAACATGAATTAAACAATATTAAATTATTTCAATCAATATAACATTTATCTAGCTTATCTTATGATTTAAGAATTTATTGTTATGTAATAATTATAAGTGTTTTGACAATATAACAGTAATTATTTTGTTTACTTATATTTATTGACTTGTTGTATCGATGATAAGCATAAGTTTATGATTCATGCAAATATATTAGTAAACATGTGCCAGAACATGTAAGATATATTTTTAATATTTGAAATTATGTGTATGTATGTTGAATTTCATAATTGAAATGTTTCATAACTTTTATTTCATTGGAACTGTGAAAGATGGTGAAGAAAAACTATGATCAGTTTCGGAAGATCTACATATCTATGGATTTTGTTTTTATAAATTATACATATATACTTTTTTAATCAATCAACTCTTGTGGTTATTTTGCATAAGAAATTATTGCAATAAGGTATGAAAATATTTGCATGTTTTTATTAAGTATGTTTTATTCAAATAAATGTTCAAATATTTTACCAGTATGTGACATTTATACATTTAACAATATGATGGTTAGCAATAAAATTCTGAATTCATTATGCATCTTCAAATATTTGCCATAAGAATTTGCATTGGTGAAATATTTGAACCTCTTTTCAAATAGAAACTATTTTAATAACAATTGCAAATGTTTTCTAATTTATTTTTTAAACATTTTGTTTTTATACCTTGTTACGCAAATTATCTAAATAATTCATTTATGTAAAGAAAATGAACATATTGCTGTACTTACAAAAATGAAATCATAGGAAGGTAGATGTTCTATTTTATTTAATTCTTCTATCTTCAATGAGATGAAAACTGTAATTCACCCAAATTATATGATTCACTTTGGATAATTGTGTTGTATTGTTATAGTGGCGGTAAGCATTATTTTTGCATTTCTATGCTTTAATAAGTAAGTACTATATAGTAATAAGTGTACTGTTGTATGTTTATGATATTATGGAAGATATAAAATATTAAATCTATTTCTGGGGTAGTGAAAATCTTTGCAACATACTATTAGATAAAGTAAAACTTATGTACTTTACATCAATTTTGATATATAAAAAATTAAATATATAAATTCGTTGAACTATAGTAGACTGTTAAAACTGCTCATAAATGAATAAGTTTTGTGTAATACAATTAATACAATACTATTTACTTATATTTTCATATTAATAATCATGTTGAAAAAGTTCTCTTTGCTCTCATTAGGGTTACACTGTATGATTGTTTGTGTGCCACGATGTGTTATTGCCTTTAAAATCACAGTAATGGATTTGCTTATTTCCGTTCCCATTTCTCCTCCACTGTTCTGTGATTTTATATTTTATGATTTTAAATTTATGAATATTAGTTGAAATATCCCAAACAGAAAACAAATTATTTGGTTATATTAGGCTTCGATTCAATTTTAGCATTATTTTTTTGATAGTGTCATATATTGAACTTAAATACAGCTGTACCTCTAAAATATCATATTGTACAGCTTCTGGTTCAATATTTTTTTCAAATGATGACATATTGAAAATTAAAAATAGATTCACAGATGAGGAAAACTGACTCATGTAAAAATCATTTCTCTATTCACATAACAGTTGACTGATTTGAATAACGATTCCATAGCTTACTGTGTTGGAAAATCATATAAATCTTTATGTTTCATGCATTCAAAAAATAGTGTTTTATTTTTTCCTTGGTTCTTTCTACTTTGATAAAAAAGATTCATATCTTCATTGTAGTTTTTTTATGATTAACTTTAATCATTTAATTCAAATTAATTCTGTTTTCGAGAAATAAGCCACAAACTTTGGGTATTTGGAGCGTGTACGGTGAAATACTTTTCAAAAGAGACGCTCATCTTTGAAATTTTTGAAACCATATTTTTTTTTTTATTTTTTACTTATCAGATGTTTGTGCCCAATTCAACGATTGTGTAAACTCTATCCCACCGCGCACGATGTGCTATTACTTAACACCGAATGGATTAATATTAATACCTATACGGTATAATGTCTAAAATAATGTATAGTAAAAATTTGGGGCACAAATAAAAAATTATAGATATGTTATCCAAGGTGTGCATCTATATTTACAGATTAGTAAAGATTTCTTAAAATATGATTGATTTGTTAAACAAAAATTACTGGACAATTGTTTATAACAACAAAAGTCAGTGTTAATTTCTTTCTGTAATTCCTATACAGTAAGTCCGTTTTAAATGTCTACACGTGATTATTTCTCTAAGTATCAGAAATGTGAAAAAATGTTTCATATGAAAGTTGTATGGTATCGAGGAGGATATATCATGATGATAATTATTTGACCTTGAGATAACGTTGAAAATGTCACGGTGAAGGTCACATTTCAATTATTAAGTGGAATTCTACATTTTTTATTGCATATTCTTGTAGCTAATACTGAGACTTATTTAATCCTCCGTTGTAGCACCTCTTTTACGAATCACCGTTGTCACACTGGGTCTAACTGTCCCAGTTCAATCTTTAAGTGGTTGGTGTTCAAAAAATAGCAGTGACATTGAATCAAAAAAATTTGGGAATGTAGCTTGTATATCGTAGAATATGTTTTGATAAAAAAAAGTTATCATTAAAAAAGAAAAAATTGTGTATATTTCAAAAAAGGCTAAAATTTATTTTACATACTGCATGAGAGCAATTTTTAAGTAAGAAGGAGATACATTTATATGGAAAGATTGATATATTTTCATACACAGATACAAATCTTTTCATTTTTATTATATATTTGTATATTTATGTTTAAAAGAAATGATATTATAAAGAAATATCCTCCACAGTCGATACATAAGAACATGCGATGTTCGTCGCACATTGGTCTCCAGTAAGACGGGCACTGCTGTGAAGTTTCACAATCTGCAACGTACATCACGTTCTCTAAATTAAGCCTTTTCACATTTCGCGGATGCAACGTATGTAAAGAAGAGTTGATTGTGCATATGGTTTTCGTAAAAAAAAAAAAAAAAAGTATCCACCAGGTGTATTAATAATTTCTTTAAACCCTGTTTGGCTGTCAATTGCAACTGGCAACTGGTTTTACGTGTGAAATAGATAATGAATTACAAAAACTGAAAAATAATGATCTTCGGACCAACTACAACACAACAAGTATAAAATTTCGACAAAAATAAAGTATTTGCTCTATTGCAGCAAAAAAGTACACCTTTGTCATACACAGGGTCATTCTGACTCACAGTTTACTTTCGATGGTTGCCAGACACATACCAACCAGATTTTCAGCAGTGTAACCACTGGAAATTAATGAAAACATTAGTGGCATTAAAAGCGATACCTTGAAGATATTCCTCTCCTAAGTAAAATTGTGAGTCTATAGGACCCAGAGTGACAACGGAGGGTTAAAACATTACCTTTTTGGTAACATTACGATTTTGTTTGTGCGCGCGTGCGTGTCTCTCTGCTTCAAAATAGTAGTGTGATCTAAGGTGGCTATCCTTGAACATTGTCCTCGATCTGTCCTGATCTAAAAGATTACATACGTATAGAACAAATTCTTTTTATTTAAATTTGTTTTTTAACACAGACACGTAACGAATTGGGTTATTTTATTTTTAACTTTGTAACTTTGTAAGCGTGCAGTGTTACCGGTGGAAATTTCGAACAAAAAATGTTCGCATTATTTTACATATTTTTCTATTGGCAACGTGAAAAAACTGCATTAATTCAGAACTCCGATATTCTAACAACATGTGCATTTAAAACGTGACCTCTATTATGGCCGTTACCATTGTCATGTTAGTATCGCAGTATACAGTGTGAACCATATGAAAATAGTAGTTTTTTTTCTTCTTTTTTTTTTTAATAGAAAATCGTGATCAAATTTTTGTTATCTTTTACCTTCTATGTTAAAATTTTGTCGATTGTAATGAAGGAAGATTGAAAAATATTATGAATTATATAAGATGGTTTAAAAGATTTTTCCAATTATATAATTCTTATGTGATTTTCCAATTGTACAATTCATAATTCTTGCATGCGTATTCGTTCCTTTATTCGTGTGCGATTTAAACTTCGGACGGCGGATACCGGGTCACCGCTGACCCAGACTTTAGATGTATCTTGTTTCAATCTGCATTCGAAACAGAGCCACGACTCTCTTCCCCTTATATTACAAATATGTTTGTTATTTTAATCATAATATATATGTGTATCATTTTAAACAATACAATGTTCAGTAAAATAAGAAAATGTGGTTTCGCTTACGTATGAAAAACATTTTATTAGCATTGGGTCATATTTGATCCAGCATTCGTCGTGCGTGCGACTATCATGCCATCTGTTGTCCGAGGGTTAATATTTGTGCACACGTTTCTTGCTTACGAGATTGGTCATTCCAATTTCGCAATTAGGTAACGTCACAATATATTTTTATATATGAATATTGATGATTATAGATGAATATTTAATATATGAACAGAATACAAGCCTCTTTTTAGTACATTTCGTGTTCAATGGAAAATAAGCGTTTTCGAAGTATTTAGAGTTAAAAGACACACGCGTTCAAATATCAAATTCAAGAAAAATAAACGTTATCCTTAAAACGTTGAAAATATTGTAACATAATCTCAGGCCACACGCGATACTTATATATCTTCCACTGTTTTGAAATATATTTGCCAGGTTCAGAGCAGATTTCGTTTATTTATTAAGTGAATAAATAAAATTCATTTACTGTCACACATGTGTGACGTTGGGCTCTTATTGGAAATCGTATGTAGCGAACGTGTTAATTCCTAATATTCTAATCTTCTAATATTCTGTTGCATTTACCTTACTCGAATGTTACGTCATAAAATATCTTTACTCGTTTAATGATACTTTTATATTTAGAAATTGTTGTATAAACCATCGAGCGCGGGAAACACGTTAATGAAAAATGTCTGTCGAAGTTTGAAAAAAATTTTGATAAATATTAATATTCGCATTATTGAAATATATTATTATTCTTCTGTTAGATCTGATTGTTACATGATTTCCTCAACTATGTATGCAGTTGATTTAAAATGGTCGTTGAAATATCCATGGACAAGTTTATTATTACTTTTGTCTACGATAACACCTTGCAATACTTTAACACTTTAAATGAGACACCCTGTATATATGTGTATATATGTATATATATATATATAGGGCGCGAAGCAACTGAAACCTCGTATTTTGTATCAGATTCACAGTGGTTCAGAGAAACTTCCTTCTTGTCGAAAATGAATTCAGAGTACGTATCATTTGTTGTTATATTGAATTTGTCTCGAGAAAATATCTAGCGAAACAGCAATTCTAAACAAGACACCTCTTTTTTTCACTGTTAATGAATATTATGTACTCAACCGACGTTTTTTATAATAATCTAATACAATTTTTTATAACAATCAATTTAATATAACAATTATAGGTAGAATTACAATGATATACTTACATTTGAAATTATTCGTATAACATTTGTATAATATTCTCTCAATTCAGAATTTTAGGTTTTCACAGTCTGGGTAGGTATACATTACCGGCCAAACATTTCAGATCACCTATCAATTTATACCAACATTGAATCTGCTACTAATTCTTTATAGATTTGGAATTGCCGTTGTGGAGATCATTGGCAATTTTTCCTCATTTCGATTGATTCGAATGATAAAAACTTCGTTGAAAAATTTTTGAAGTTGTTAGTTTTTTTCCGTAACTTTTTGTGTAATTTACAATGCACAGTGATGTTGTCCATGTTTTCGGCCGGTAGTGTAGCTGTTCTTTTTCTCGAGGTTTTCCGGTGTAAAACTTCTTTATTAGGAATTTGTACATACCGACGTGTTTCGCCAGTATTGCAGCTAACTTCCTTAGTGTGTCTCTGAGAAAAGTAGTTGCAATTCTGCCGAAACGCTGGCGTACAATTCTCTCAATTACAGTATCGGACAAAAGTATACGTATACCCTTTAAAACAGAATAACTTTTTTTTTAATTGAACCAAACGACTTGAGTTTTTTTTAGAAGTTACAAAGGATTAGTTCACTGGATAATGTGTACAAAAAATTTGGAAAAACCTGTAATTTATGGGAATCGCGAAGAAAGTTGTTTAGGTCACTTTTTACAACCGTTTTTATCTGAGCTTGTGAAAATTTATGACATACGTTTTGCAGATTTATGTCAATTATATACATGCTGAAAATTTCATCCGATACTGCAGTTTTAACCTATTTTTAATTCGTTAACAAATTTGCTACGAAAGTTTAAGATTCCTTAAAATAAATTTATTCATATGCTGCTTATTTTTTTTTATTATCATCGATGAAAAACAGAAACATCGTTAAAATTAATGATTAACAAGTTAATTGTTATTGTTGAAATTTTCATTTTTAGATCAACGAATGCAGGGGTACGGACGATATATTCCTCCACGTCTCAGAATACGTTTCTGTCGAGTAAAGATGAAAGCCGTGAACTAATGGCTATTTGGCCCGATATTGTTCGTGACCTTACGGATGCTGGTGACCTTGACATACCAGATGTTACCAAATGGTTGGCGAAGGTATCTTTTTATTGTACATCTTTTTTTTTAATGTTTAATATTATTGGTCATTATATCAATCGGTTATTTAACATGATATTTGGCTTATCATATTTTATATTGTGAGTTCAAAATTAATGTAAAAAAACAGCACATAATTGGTATCTGATAATGAAAGTGAGATTAAAAAAAAAAATGTTTGGCTACCAAGGGAAATAAGATTTTTCGAAAATGTTGAAATACCCAGTTTTGCCCCATGAATGGGGTAAAATCGGGCGTCCATTTAAAACCATGTAAAATTTAGTGCAATTACAAAATCTTTCATTTTGCCAGTTAAAAAAACTAGCTAATAAGCTTACTTTAACTTATTTCAAGAGTGAAAATCCCGAACAAACATAAAGTTCATTGCAAAATATGCAGACTTCATTAAGATCTTCCTCTGAGGATGAGTTTTCTTCTCAACGATGTTTTTGTTTTTTGGCCACAGATCACAGTTCTTGTCACAGGGAAACTTTTCCTTACAGGAATAGCGACGGAAATATATTTCAAACTGTGTAGAATACTTCGAAGATTTAATTATAATTGTTACAAATTAATTATAGTTATGTCAGTAACTTACTTTATTTAAAAAATTTATTTGAAGCATTAAAACTTGTTCAAATCGATCAAAATATGCAACTTTTGTTGACAATAAAATTTGATTTTCATGTTTTTATCTGATATATAAATTTTTTTTTAAATTCCTTTTTTTCTTCTGTTTAATATTTAGGTACTGCAGTACAATGTTCCTGTAGGAAAGAAGAATAGAGCGTTGACGGTTATACACGCATACAAATTACTATCCTCTTCTGATCAATTAACAGAAGAAAATATTCGTTTAGCACGTATTCTAGGCTGGTGCATAGAATTGGTTTGTAACTTTTTATTTTATTCTTTGTACTGTTTTAAGATTTCTTAATATTTATATACATCTTAAATAATACCCAAATTTTCTATTAATTCCTCTCTATTCTGTCAATTTAAAAAATTAAGAATTTCTTATATTTTTTACATATAGGGTTATATAAAAGCATTATGTTATAGCTACAAGCATTCTTTTTGGTAATTGACGATATTCAAGATCAATCCAAAATGCGACGAAATCAACCATGCTGGTATTTAAATAATGGTATTGGGTTGGCGGCTGTTAATGATGGTATAATGTTGAAAATGTGTATATACCGGCTCCTTAGGAAACACTTTAAATCGAAAGACTGTTATTTAAATCTCATAGAATTGTTTTTAGATGTATGTAGCAATTTTTTCTATTTAAACAGTACACGAATAGAAAAAGTTATATGAATGTTGTGCCATTTAAATAGAAATTTGATTATAGCTGTGCTGTACATTTACTGAAGTTAATAGAATTATTTGATAAAGCATAATCACTTTTAGATAAATGTACTGTTTTATTGGTACACATAAAGCTTTGTCTACCATATTAAAAATACAAAAATACTGTTTATCATATTAAATTGCTTATTCTTTACCATTTCTTTCTTTTTTTTCAACATTTTTTACATCCAAATAAAGTGAATAAGATTTTTTTACAAAATAAACATTTATAAGCAAAAAATTTTCATATAATTTTTTCATTATAAATTATTTACAATGCATACTTTTAAACATTAATTAAGCTACATGTGTAAAACTTATTGAGTGCAATGTTATATTATTTTCAGTCTACATGGAAAACGTTAATGGGTCAATGTCTAGATTTATTATCAACAAATTTTGGAAAAAAATCAAATTTAGATTTGTTTACCATGGATCGGTACAATTCTATTGCTAAATACAAAACAGCTTACTATTCATTTGTGTTACCAACTACTGCTGCTATGTGTCTTGTAAGTTTAATTAGCAAACAGTATATGATTCTTGTAATTTTTGAAATTGTAATATTTTCCTAGCAAAAATTATTTTTACAATACGAAACTTTTATTTATTCATAGGCTAATATAAAAGATTCAGAAATGTACAGGCAAGCAAAAACAATTTTACTAGAAATGGGTCACTTTTTTCAAGTACAAGACGACTATTTAGATTGCTATGGTGATTCAGAGACCACTGGAAAAATTGGTACAGATGTAGCAGAAGGAAAATGTTCGTGGCTTGTTGTTGTAGCTTTACAACGTGCTACACAAGAGCAAAGAAAGGTTTTAGAGGTAAATATATTTTCACTACAAATATTTTTTACTAATTTTCATTCAATCAAACTTTCATTTATTAAGTAACAATATAAATAATATTGGTATTACACAGGAATGTTATGGACAATCTGATATAGACAAAGTAAATCGTGTGAAACAGCTTTACAATGAATTAGGTTTACCAAATACTTATACCATTTATGAAGAAGAAACGTACAATTTATTAAACACTCATATACAACAAGTATCGCGTGGTCTTCCGCATGACTTCTTTTTTAAGTTACTTCACAGAGTATGCCGTAGAGTGGCACGAAAAGATTAATTATGCAGTTAAAAACGACAAATTGTGTCGTTATTGTAATTCAGGAAAAAATATACTGTGCTTCCTTTACTTTATGCATTTTTAGAAATTAAATGTTTATTACTAATATTACTGACAAAGGATAAATAAGGACTAGTAACAATTGCATTTTATTTCCATTGTATAGGAATTTTTTATAAGAATATTAAACTATAAATGGATGAAAATAATTGATTATCATTGCTATTAAATAATTCGTACAATGTTAATAGTAAGAACAGATAATGAATAATAAAACTATTGATTCCGAGCTCATAAAATAAAATATTTTATATACATACATATATTTTCTTGT